ACCTCTGTCAGAGTGCAAGCGCAGGACAGAAAAGTCCGAGTGGAAACGCTCGCTGAGCTGGAGACGGGCTCTGCGGATCCAAGGGATCAAGACATCAGGGACCTCACCCTTGGTGCACAAGGGGAAGACCGTGGTGTAGCGCGAGTAGTCGTCAACAACTATCAGGAAGTACCTCTCCTGACCCTGACCACGGACGCGGGCTGGGCCCCACACGTCCATGTGGAGCGTCTGCAAGGGAGCAGTCGTCGGGGGAAACGAGGAGGAGTGAGGAGCGGCGCGCTGCCGCCCCTCGACGCAGGGAAGACAGGGAGGAGCAGGCGAGGGTGGGAGGGGAGGGAGGACTCTGGGAAGACCGGAGACAAGGTACCGGGAATGCATGGCACGAAGGCGCTGCACAGATGGGTGGCCAAGTCGGTGGTGCCAGAGGACAGTCTCGTGCGCCAGAGAGCGACACGAGCAGGGGGCAGACAGCTGACGTGACGCGGACGCAGACGCAGCGACGTGAGGGGAATCAGTGGTCAGTGTGTACAGGTCCGACCTCGGCTGCCAAGTGAAGCTAGCCAAGTGGCGGCCCGTACGAGCACACGTGCAGTGTGTCACGCGCTCGTAGGCAGGGGTGAACTGGTGAACACCCCCGTCCTGGAGTGCACTACCTGCCACCAAGTTCGTAGAGAACGAGGGGAGGTGGAGACCTGACAATGTGCCCGACGGGACCACAGGACAGGGAAGGAAAGTGAAGGAGGTCGCAATGACCGGACCCCCAGAGGGGTCAGCGAGGGAGACAGCAACTGGCCGAGCAAGCGGCTCAAGGGCAGTGCAGTCACGAAAGAAGCAGCGAGAAGCACCTGAGTCTAGTGTGAAGGTGTGCAGTGCTGCCGTCGATTCAGTACCAGGGGGGGCGGACGCACAAGCACCTAGAGCAGCTTCCTCACCAGCACCTGGGGTAGCAGACACGCGAGTACCTGGAGCGGCAGACGCACTAGTCCTAATGCCCGGGTCGGGCGGCACACGCAGGTACTCAGCACCCTCTCCATTAGTAGACATCACATACATAGCAGTGAGAATAGCATCAAATTCTAGAGCATAGATATCAATCCCCTTCTTCAGGAGGTCAACCCAGCGGGGCAGCTCAGTGGCTTGAGGGAACTGAACTCGCCAAGCGTCGTTGAGACGAGCGAAGCAGCGCTGTGTGGCGTGCGGTCCCCCACACGGCTGACCAGTGCGGTCACCAGTGCGAATGACGTACGTGCAGCTAAAGCCACCCCCCCCCCCCTTGTGCTGAGAGTACCACTCACGGACCTCCTGGGGCGACGGAGTGTGCTGCTGGCCCTGGCCACGGCCAGCGCCTCCACGACCACCACCGCCGCCGCCACCTCGTCGACCACCCCAACCCCTGCCGCCGCCGCGTCCACCGCCACCCCCACCACCGCCTCCGCCCCTGCCACCTCCCCCGCCGTTGCCGCCACCACCCCCACCGCTGCCACTAGCCCCTCCAGTCGCGCCACCACCCCCACCGCCGCCACCGCCCCCACCACCGCCTCCCCCGCTGTCACCGCCACCGCCCTTGCCCCCTTTGCCCTTGCCGCTGCGGCGCCCGCTCGAAGCAGACGCAGTCCCGACCTTCTCAGCACCAAGGAGGTCGACAGCAGCAGCAGAGGCGATAGAGTCTTGTGCTGCCTCAAGTGCTCGCGCTCATCTATCGGCAGGGAGTTGCGAATAGCGAAGCGAGCGTGGGCGTCACGAGTCTGCCACTGTGACCGGGCAGTGTTGTCAGCAGTAGCAGCAGGAGCAGGAGCATGGCCTAGGGCGTGATCGTACAGTGAGATGTCCTCCTTGGCAGTGAGCTGTAGGAAGAGGTGTAGGTCATCTAGCCAGGTTTCGAACTTCACTGGGCGGCCCTCAGCATCGAAAGCCAGCACAGGAGGGCTAGCCATAGCAGTAGTAGGAGTAATAGCAGTAGGGGCACCCCAAAAACAGTAGGCAGTGCGACTCAGGTAGGGCGGCTCGGTCCTTTACGGGCGGCGCGGCTCGGTTCAGGTAGGGCGGCGCGGCTCGGGAAGGGCGGCGCGGCTAGGTTCGGGCGGCGCGGCTCGGTTTGGGCTGGGCGGCTCGGTTCGGGCGGCTCGGTTCGGGCTGGGCGGCTCGGTTCGGGCTGCTCGGGTCGGGCGGCTCGTTCTGGGGGGGCCGTTCGGGGCCTCTAGGGGCGAGCGCGGGGCCGTAAGGGGCCGCTAAGGGCGACCGCGGGGCCGATCAGGGCCTCTAGGGGCGAGCGCGGGGCCGTAAGGGGCCGCTAAGGGCGAGCGCGGGGCCATTCGGGGCCTCTAGGGGCGAGCGCGGGGCCGTAAGGGGCCGCTAAGGGCGAGCGCAGGGCCGTTCGGGGCCTCTAGGGGCGAGCGCGGGGCCGTAAGGGGCCGCTAAGGGCGAGCGCGGGGCCGACGGGGGCCTCTAGGGAGGTGAGCGCGGGGCCGACGGGGCCGACAGGGTCGCTAAGGGGCGAGCACGGGGCCGTAAGGGGCGAGCCTGTGGGCTGACGGGGCCTTAAGGGGCGGCGCGCGAGTCGCTAAGGGGCGGGTCGCGGGTCGCGGGGCCTTAGGGGGGCGTGAAAAACGAGGCGTCTTAAGGCGCAGTTAGGTAGGTAGGTAAGTAGGTAGTGGTGGGCCCTAAAAAAACGGTCCTAGCGAAGGACCTGCTCTATACCATGTTGAAATGAACGAACAGGAATGATTGAACTAGCAGTGAAATCAGTACAAGTACCTAACCCTAGAATTGTGTACCCACTATAGGCTAACCCACTGTAGCCTAAACAAGCACAACATATATAATGTTTGACAAAATACACCGACCTTCTCCGACGGGAACTCGTCTTGACAACTGGGCAACTAGTGCTACTTGATACGAAGAACCTGCACCTGCCCGGTCCGTCGAAACTACGGCCACGATTTTGTGGACCGTTCAAGATTCTCAAGATGGTGACACCTGTCACCGCAAAGCTGTTGCTACCCGACGACTGGCGCATTCATGACGCCTTCCAAGTCAGCCTTCTTCGAAAGTTCGTGCCAGCAACGGCCGACATCGCACGTCAGCACGCTCCCCCGACAGCACGACCTGTCCCGGAGCCGACCCTTGCCCCTTCCAAAATCCTCGCTCATCGGGTCCGCCTTGACGCAGCTGGTCGACACGTGGATTTCTTAATTCGCTGGACTGACTGCACCAGTGAGGACGACACGTGGGTGCCATCCGCCTCGCTCGACGCCTCGCCACTTGTTGGTGATTACCTGCCGCGAAGGCGTGTTTCGGATGTTGACCGCCTTTCTTATGGGGGGGGTGGTGTAAGGAATTTTCCCGAATTCCTTATCGGGGTTGACTGCTTCGCGTACAACCCGATTTTCGGAGTTCGCACGTTCGGCCGATTTTAACGCTGCCGAGGCTCCTCGCGTCGCCTTCGGCATTTCCATCGCCAAACCTGCACCCAACCTCGCTCGTCCGAGGTTTCCTCCTAGCTAGGCTAGCCCTACATTAGTCTGTGCATTCATTGTATTCTCAGTTCATTGAGTCACAGTCTCGTTATTCGTTTACCTGCGCACTCTCTTTTACAACTCATAACAACTCAATTGCACTCGTAACAACCACTGAACGAGGTCAATCGTTTTCGTCACCATCGAACCTGTTTGGTGTTCAAGTATATCTCGACGAGGTAAATAATGGTTCGGAGCGGTGAATCACACCAGCCGTTCTGAAGTCCATGAAATAATTTTTGGTATTACTCTCCTACAGCATCTGTGATGCTCTCAAGACTAGACCATTTCACAATCCTCTTCTATTCTCATAGCCATGGCTGTTCCCTGATGCGCTTATTAACTCTCCATGCTGGTGACCGTTACAAGTGATTATATTCGCGTTGCTGCTCTCCTCGGCAGACGAATTTGAGTTTCAAGTAATAGTTTTTGCAGAAGATATAGGCTTTAAACGCGTATATCTGACGGAATGGGCCGACGTGGCTCAAGGTCGCCAGTAAGGAAGCGCAGCCGTCGATCCCCCTCTCCGACCCGATCAAAATCGCGGTCTCGCTCCCGGTCTCCTCCTCCTCGTTCCTCATTGGCTCGCAAGGATCGAAGGGACGATCGGAGAGAGGGTCGGAAGGAGGGTCGGAGGGAGGATCGGAAGGAAGATCGACGAGAGGACAGGAAGGACGATCGACGGAACCGTCGGAGCCGAAGCAGATCGCCTTACGGCAGGTCGGGACTCTGACATGCCTCCCCGTTGCTGAGCTTCGGCATGCTAATAATGCTTGTCGGAAAATTCTGTTATCGAGCGATTTCTCTTCGTGCGGCCTCGTTTCCTTTCACACATCCCCTCGGACTCGTTATACGCTGCTTCGTTATGCGCCATCAACTCCCTCAGGGACCTTGAATGGCTCGCCAGCTGGTTCGGGATTCAACGCAACAAGACATGTCTCCTTCTTCAGTCCTTGAGAGGCGCCCGTGTTCCCGTCTCCTCGTGTCGCTGTTTACCCTCTTCTTGAACCAAGATGAAACCAGCGTGATACTCGTTATAACGGTCCTCCCTATTCGCTAGGTTTCCGGAGGGTGACGTGTCTCACCCTATTCCCCTGCAGCTCGCCTTTTGAGTCGACTCAAAAGTCGCGACGTGGCCGCTATTCGGACGGTGCGATGCGGTGCAGTGAGGTGCAGTGTCTGATCCCTCCCCCCTGCAGCTCGCCTGTAAGAGACGTGATTACAGGCACCATGATAGTAACGCAGCGTCTTGTAACGCAGCGTGCCCGTAAGAGCCACAGACTCCGTTTTTCCACTGGTGGCCGTTTTTCCTCTGCCATACACACCCCGACGGTACTTCCCCTGTCCCTCTTGTTCTCGGCCGTTTGTCCCCTCCTAATCCCCAATCCTTCCCTCTCCTCCCTTCCTCCCTTCTCCCCGCTTCCTCCGCCTCCCCATCCTCCATCGCCTTAAACTGGACCGCTTTTAGTTAAGTGCCATCCTACTATGAGCCCCCCGTTTTCACCGTATCCGCTCTAACATATTCCACCCTATCCATCCCCACCCTTCCGCTCCTCCCCTCCCTCTCGCCTGTGCGTTCGCCGCTCCACACCCATCCTTCTGCCCTCCTGGTGCTTTTGGCACCTCCGCCTGGTCTCCACCCTGGGTGCGTTCGGCACACCTTGGGAACTTCCTCGTCGCTGATTGGTCAGAGGGCGCCGGAGCAGGTCCCCCTCCCCTCGCCGCCGCGACAAGGCGCGGGACAGCGGGCGAAGAGGGGGCGATGAGCGGAAGCAGGAAGGCGCGCGAAAGGGGGAGAGTGCGCGTAAGGGGGAAGGCGCGCGCGGAAGCAGCCGTCGGGACCTAAGCCGCAGCCGCTCGCGCTCCCCTGCCCCGCGGAGGCGTTCGCGCTCCCCCTCCCCACGCTCTCGCGCGCGGAGAGAAAACGCGCGGAAGGACGATGTGCGGAAGCGGAATAGCCTGCCTGGTGAAGGGGATAAGGGCGGGAAAGGCGCGGAGAAGGGCAAAGGAGGCGAGGAGGAGAAGGGCAGGGGGGAGGACGAGCGGAAGAAAGCTGACTGCGTGGGGAAGGATGTCGAAGGAGGGGTGGGGAAGGGAGGGGAGGGGGAGGTGGAGGGGGATGAGAAAGTGAAGGAGAGGGAGATGGAGGCTCGGAGGGCCAAGGAGGACGCGGAGAGGGCTGAAAGGAAAAGGTGAGTAACATTGGTCAACGCTTGTCAACGCTAGTCAATGTTATAACTGGGTGTATAAACAGTTGAGACCCCTCATTCTGGAAAAGCGACTGGGAGGTGTTTCATTCACGTATCTCCCACCCACCCATCCTTCCTGTATGTGTCCGTGCAGGTTACGAGAAGAAGCAATGGAGAAGCTTATAGCAGAGGAGACTACAAGGAGGCTTGAGGAGGCGATTCGGGAGCGTGTGGAGCGAGAACTTACCTCAGAGGAGATCAAGAGGGAAATGGCGGCTTTAATTGAAGAAGGCCGGAGGAAGCTTCCTGGGGAGGTGTCGAGAGTTTTAGAGGAGGAGAAGGAGGCTGCTGAGGAGGAGAAGAGGAGGAAAGAGGTGAGTGGGGGGAGCGTTGGGATTGGGGAAGAGGTGAGGAGGAAGAGGAACAGTAGTCTTTCTTTTGAGCTGACCAAGAGTCAGCTTTAGAGGAGGAGGCCGCTGAGGAGGAGAAGAGGAGGAAAGAGGTGAGTGAGGGAAGAGGGAACGGGGGAAAAGGTGAGTGGGGAAGAGGGGAAGTGAGCTGACTTTTGAGTTCACTCAGTCAGCTTCAGAGGAGGAGAAGGAGGCTGCTGAGGAGGAAAAGAGGAGGAAAGAGGTGAGTGGGGAAGAGGGGAAGGGGGGAAGAGCAGAAGAGGGGAAGAGCAGAAGAGGGGAAGAGCATTTGTTTGAGTCTGATCTTTTAATGCTGTGAGAAGGGTGTTGAAGGGGTCGCAAGGATGGGGAAGGACTGGTACTCTCTTTCAGAAAAGGTAAGGGTGGTGGTGGGGTGCAGCAAGGATTGTTGCAAGCCTTTGCTAAAAAAATCGCTTTTGAGACTTCTCAAAAGCGATTTCAAATTAGGCCAGAAAGTATGCTTGGAGGAGCCTCTGGGTTAGAAGGAAAAGGGCCAGAAGTCAGATTACAAAAATCGTTATCTTAAAGCCTAAACCCTTACTTCATCTTGGCCACTCTTTACGTTCCCACGTTCGTTCCCTTGCCCCGTCCATTTCCTCTATCCCTTGCAGGAGGAGAAGCGGAAGGAGGAAGAGCAGCAGCAGGAGCTGTTGCAGCAGAAGCAGAGAGAAGCAGAGGAGGCGGAGCGGCAAAGGTTAGAGGAGCAAGCGAGGGAGCAGGAGAGGCGGTATCGGGAACTGGAGGAGAAGCAGAGGCAGAGGGATGAAGCCAAGAGGAAGAAGAAGGAAGAGGAGGAGAAGACAAAGAAGGAACAGATGAAGATTTTGGGGAAGAAAAACGCCCGGCCGAAGCTAGCGTTTAGCCTCGGTGGTGGGAAATGACTAGGATTGGATAGTCTTCTCTGGTTTGGCCTGGCCTGGCCTGGCCTGGGCTGGTCTGGTCTAGAACTGTGTTGGTGTTTATGGATGTACTGTTTAGAGTAGTAGTACCAGTATGTGATGGCTAATAAGTGCTGGAGTGTAGAAGTGGGCTGTGTTCCATTCTGGGTGCTTCAGTCTGTATCTGTACCGTACTCTCCAGCTAAGGTCCATCCCCCCTGTTGCCAGAGCCTGCACCTCTTGGGATAGGATTGAGGCACCTAAAAAGGGCTGCAGCTGTTACGGTATCTATGTGCCAAAGCTGGCTATGTTCTTCCCTCTTCCCCCTTCCCTCTTCCCCTGCTTACCCTGTTGTCCCCTCACTCCTGTTTCTGCTCCTCCCTAGAACAGAGCCCAAGAGCCAGACCCGAGTTCAAACAAGAATATGGTACACCAGAGTTGGGTTGATTGAAACTTGGGGAGTATCTTGGAAATCCAAACACAGGTGGTGGTGGGTACAAGCGGCCCTTTCTTTCCTCTCCCTGCATGTGTTCCTTATTCCAATCATGGCATGGCATGGCAAAAATGCCCACTAGCAGCAACAGACAGCAGACACGTACATCAGGTAAGTGCCAGAATAAGGTAGGTACGTGGCTTGGGTAGGTACCAGTGGTAAGTACCTTAGGTAGATGACTGGTGGCGGATCAACAGGGCAGTCTTCAGATGAAGTGGCACGGGACAAGCATACGGTACATTATATTTGCGGGAAGGTGTAAACATGGTTTTGATGATGAGTATTAGCTATCAACTCTGGTAATTGGCTTGGACGATCAGGCCTTGACGATCAAGCTTTGGCAATGAGCTTTGGAATGAGCTTCGGCAATCGGTATGGATGAGGGAGCCTAGCCTCGTAACGAGATGACGATGACGCTGGTGTTGTCCTCTGTCCCACGATCCTGAGAGGGAGGGGCGCAGCAGAGAGCACGGAGGAGAGAACACAGATGAACAGTTGAATGAAGGGGATACACAGGGGGGTTTGATCAGGGTGGCTAGCCTCGCAACGAGATGACGATGACGCTGGTGTTGTCCTCTGTCCCACGATCCTGAGAGGGAGGGGCGCAGCAGAGAGACGCACACAGATGAGGACACGAAGGGACACACGGCACGGATAGAAGCATGATTGGGGCGAGGAGATGACGATGATTCTGGTGTTGTCCTGTCCTCTGTCTCGCGATCCTGTGGGGCAGAGCAGAAGCACAGAGGGTGCAGCAGAGAGCAGGGAGCACAGAAGAACCTATAAAGAGATATACGGAGTGTCGCAAGGAGATGATGATGATGATGCTACTCTGTGTAGATGGTTGCTGATCATGCTACTCTAACGAGTCAGCAAGGACTACAGTAAATTCCGCTGTAGTGTGCTGTTTTACAGTGTAGTGTACTGTATTATAATACACTCACATGCAGAGCTGTATGCACGAGCGCATCGCATGCCTGCTGCACATCCCCATGCCTCCAAGCCAGCCCTTACCTTCAACTATTGGTGTATCTGCATGTATTATACTGAATGTCATAAGACACTCATTTCTAGGAATGTCTTTAGACTCTCGCGTGCATAGCAGTGTGCAGAATGGCCTCACATTCCTGCTTATGTCCCCGTGCCTCCAAGCTAGCATCTATTGGTGTATCTTCATGTAGTATACTGTATGTCTTTAGACACTCATTTCTAGGAATGTCTTTAGACACTTACGTGCAGAACAGAGCAGTGTGCACAATGGCCTTGCATTCCTGCTTACGTCCCCGTGCTGCAACGACAGTGCATTATACTGAAACTAGTGTGCTTCCTATCCCAGGTGATAAAGTTAGTGTTTCGAATCGAAACGTCTCAAAACACTACCTTTATCACAACGACAGTGCATTATACTGTCTTGTAGCGTGCTTCCCAGCTTACAAAAGCATCTTGTACCATGCCCTCATGCACTCACATGCAGAGCCGCGTGCACGAGAGCCTCGCAAGCCTGCTGGCTGCTGTGCCTGCAGGTCTTTTAACGTCCCCATGTCTCCAAGCCAGCGGCAATGCGTAGTGTACTAAAGTGTCATATAGTGTATCTTGATGTACTATACTGTATCCTTGTTCACTCACATGCAGAGCCGTGTGCACGAGCGCCTCGCATGCCTGCTGCACGTTGCCATGCCTGCAAGGCAGTACTAGTGTATGAAAGTATAGCGTAGCATAGCATAGCAGCCTGTAGTGTAGTGTACCGTTGTGTATCATACAGCACTCACATGCAGAGCCGCGTGCGCCTCGCAAGCCTGCTGCACGTCCCCATGTTGTAGAGTCCAGCACGGTGGAAATCAGTGTGCTTATAAGAGCATATTATACCACAATCTCATACACTCACATGTAGCGCAGCGTGTACGAGCGCCTCGCAAACCTGCTGCGCGTCCCCAAGCCTCCAAGCCAATACTATTGTATGGCAGTGTAGCATAGCACAATAGTCTCTAGTGTAGTGTATTATAGTGTATCATATGACACTCACATGCAGCGCAGCGTGCACGAGCACCTTGCAAGCCTGCTGCACGTCCCCATGTTGTAGAGTCCAGCACGGTGGAAATCAGTGTGCTTATAAGAGCATATTATACCACAATCTCATACACTCACATGTAGCGCAGCGTGTACGAGCGCCTCGCAAGCCTGCTGCGCGTCCCCAAGCCTCCAAGCCAATACTATTGTATGGCAGTGTAGCATAGCACAATAGTCTCTAGTGTAGTGTATTATAGTGTATCATATGACACTCACATGCAGCGCAGCGTGCACGAGCGCCTTGCAAGCCTGCTGCACGTCCCCATGTTGTAGAGTCCAGCACGGTGGAAATCAGTGTGCTTATAAGAGCATATTATACCACAATCTCATACACTCACATGCAGCGCAGCGTGCACGAGCGCCTCGCATGCCTGCTGCACGTCTCCATGCTTCTCCATCTCGCTCCGCACATACGACACTGCCTCAGAACTGCAAGATTAACAGGGTGTGGTGGGAGGGAGGGAGGGAGGGAGGGAGGGAGGGAAGCAGTGTGTGTGGGAAACGGATGTTTGTTCCAAAAGTCCCCATGCTTCTCCATCTCGCTCCGCACATACGACACTGCCTCAGAGCTGCCAACAGGATGTGTGGGGGAGGCAGGTAGGGAGGGAGGGAGGAGCGAGAGAGGGGAGTGGGAGGGAAGGAAGGGGGTGTGTGTGTAGCTGTCACTTATTCCAAAAGTCTCCATGCCTCTCCATGTCGCTCCGCACATACGACACTGCCTCAAGAGCTGTAAGATTAACAGGTTGTGGTGGGACTGAGGGAGGGAGGGAGGGAGGGAGGGAGGGAGGGAGGGAGGGAGGGAGGGAGGGAAGGAGTGCGTCTCCATCTCGCTCCGCACAAACGACACTGCCTCAAGAGCTGTAACAGGGTGTGGTGGGGGAGCGGGAGGGAAGGGGGAGGGGGGAGGTGGGGAAGCGGGTGTGGGGGTGGGAAGGGTGGAAATGGGTGTGTGGGGGGGGGGGGGAAGGGTGGAAATGGGTGTGTGGGGGGGAAGGGTGGAAATGGGTGTGTGGGGGGGGGGAAGGGTGGAAATGGGTGTGGGGGTGGGAAGGGTGGAAATGGGTGTGTGGGGGGGGGGAAGGGTGGAAATGGGTGTGGGGGTGGGAAGGGTGGAAATGGGTGTGGGATGGGAAGGGTGGAAATGGGTGTGGGATGGGAAGGGTGGAAATGGGTGTGTGGGGGGGAAGGGTGGAAATGGATGTGTGGGGGGGGGGAAGGGTGGAAATGGGTGTGTGGGGGGGGGGAAGGGTGGAAATGGGTGTGGGGGGGAAGGACGTGTAGCAATATGAGGGGAGAGCGGGCTAGGCATTAGCAGGAGAGGGAGAGCTTTCTACCTGGAAAACGCATCCCATAGGCCATCAGATGCAATGATGACGAATTCGGCATCTTCTGTCAGCTCAGTGCCGTACACGTCAGGGAGCGCTGAGATCCAATCAGAATCGTACTTTCTCCTGAAAACCAGGAAGGGATGGCAGAAGCAGGCATGGGGAAAGCATGCGGATAGGGCCGAGAAGGGGTGGGGAGGAGGAAGATAGGAAGGATGAGAAGAAAGGTACAAGAAACATATCTGGATATGTTGATGTTACTTTTGATGTTACTTTTGAGAAATGTGTTACTGTTGAAGTAACACCAACATGGCTGAGAAGGGGTGAGCAGGGGTAAGATAGCAGGGATGAGAAGCACGGTACGAGAAACCTATCTGGGTATCAACTTGACCTTCTTCAGGGTGTTTTTGAGAATTCTCAAACCTATCTTGAAAAACACCCTGCAGCAACGAGAAACCTATCTGGATATCAACTTGACCTTCTTCACTGGTTAATGGAGGGACAGCAGCAGCCACCAAACTCGGTTCTCCTGACCAACTACTAAAAACAGCAGCAAGCAGCGAGCAGCAAGAAGCGAGCAGAGAGCAGCAAGCAGAGAGCAGCAAGCGGAGAGCTTACTTGGAGACCCATCTGGTGGTCCACCTCCCCTAATTCACTGAAACGAGAATGGCTTTAGAGCAGAGCAGCAAGCAAACGCAATCAGCAAGCATCAAGCAGCAAGAAGCAAGGAGCAAGCAGCAAGAAGCAAGGAGCAAGCAGCAAGAAGCAAGGAGCAAGCAGCAAGAAGCAAGGAGCAAGCAGCAAGAAGCAAGGAGCAAGCAGCAAGAAGCAAGGAGCAAGCAGCAAGAAGCAAGGAGCAAGCAGCAAGAAGCAAGGAGCAAGCAGCAAGAAGCAAGGAGCAAGCAGCAAGAAGCAAGGAGCAAGCAGCAAGAAGCAAGGAGCAAGCAGCAAGAAGCAAGGAGCAAGCAGCAAGAAGCAAGGAGCAAGCAGCAAGAAGCAAGGAGCAAGCAGCAAGAAGCAAGGAGCAAGCAGCAAGAAGCAAGGAGCAAGCAGCAAGAAGCAAGGAGCAAGCAGCAAGAAGCAAGGAGCAAGCAGCAAGAAGCAAGGAGCAAGCAGCAAGAAGCAAGGAGCAAGCAGCAAGAAGCAAGGAGCAAGCAGCAAGAAGCAAGGAGCAAGCAGCAAGAAGCAAGGAGCAAGCAGCAAGAAGCAAGGAGCAAGCAGCAAGAAGCAAGGAGCAAGCAGCAAGAAGCAAGGAGCAAGCAGCAAGAAGCAAGGAGCAAGCAGCAAGAAGCAAGGAGCAAGCAGCAAGAAGCAAGGAGCAAGCAGCAAGAAGCAAGGAGCAAGCAGCAAGAAGCAAGGAGCAAGCAGCAAGAAGCAAGGAGCAAGCAGCAAGAAGCAAGGAGCAAGCAGCAAGAAGCAAGGAGCAAGCAGCAAGAAGCAAGGAGCAAGCAGCAAGAAGCAAGGAGCAAGCAGCAAGAAGCAAGGAGCAAGCAGCAAGAAGCAAGGAGCAAGCAGCAAGAAGCAAGGAGCAAGCAGCAAGAAGCAAGGAGCAAGCAGCAAGAAGCAAGGAGCAAGCAGCAAGAAGCAAGGAGCAAGCAGCAAGGAGCGAGCTTACTTGGAGACCCATCTGGTGGTCCACCTCCCCTTCTTCACTCCTTGTTGCATCATTCTGCACACAGAGGAGCACAGTGCGGTAAAGTGCGGTTCAGCATGGTATAAGAGTGGTTCAGTGGGAAGAGTTGGGCATTAATGTGCATACAAGTACTTTACTTGTCGTTACCCTTCTATTTGTCTTAGTTTTGTTTCATTTGTTTGTTCGTTTGTTTGTTTTGTGTGCAGTGATTGATCTAGGTAGGTGTATTGGTAAAGCTGGTTACTTCAATCATTCAGAAGCACGACTCACTCAGTCAGTGACTCACTCAGTCAGTGACTCACTCAGTCAGTGACTCACTCAGTCAGTGACTCACTCTGTCAGTGACTCACTCTGTCAGTGACTCACTCAGTCAGTGACTCACTCTGTCAGTGACTCACTCTGTCAGTGACTCACTCAGTCAGTGACTCACTCAGTCAGTGACTCACTCAGTCAGTGACTCACTCAGTCAGTGACTCACTCTGTCAGTGACTCACTCAGTCAGTGACTCACTCTGTCAGTGACTCACTCAGTCAGTGACTCACTCAGTCAGTGACTCACTCCTCTTTTCTCGTCTTGAAAGCCACGTTGCCAAACGCTCGGGACACGGCAATCACGCCACACACCCGCCCTTGGCTCACCTGCGAATGGGTGAGGAAAAGGGTGGGCATGTGGATAGGGGGAAAGGTAAGGTGAAATGGGGGAGAGATAGGATGGATAGGGAGAGAGACAGGGTCATTGGGAGGAAGATTGGGTGGATTGGGGGAGAGATTGGGTGGATTGGGGGAGAGATAGGGTGGATTGGGGGAGAGATAGGGTGGATTGGGGGAGAGATGGGGTGGATTGGGGGAGAGATGGGGTGGATTGGGGGAGAGATAGGGTGGATTGGGGGAGAGATAGGGTGGATTGGGGGAGAGATAGGATAACGTCTCAACACTCACGCACAAGTCGACTCAGCACCCACTCACCCATCCGCCTGCCTTGTTGATCCGCTTGATCTCCGCAGCTTGATCTCGCGCCTTGCCCGAGTCGCTGCTTGGTAGGTGTATTTTTAGCCGACTCAACACCCACTCACCCATCCGCCCGCATTGTTGAACTTCTCTTCTTAATCTCCTCCTGCGCCTTTCCCAATTGCTTAATCAGGCTTATCTCCAACTAATTGACTCAATCACCCATCCGCCTGCCCTGTTGATCCTCTTCATCTCTCCTGCCCGCACCTTCCCCGAGTTGGTGACTTTCCACACACACACACACACACACACACAAAAAACTACTCACCCATCCGCCCGCCTTGTTGATCCGCTTAATCTCCGCCTGTGCCTTGCCCGAGTCGCCGCTGGGCTTATGGTCGTCCGAGATGTATCCCTCGTCGCCCCCCCCAACGGCCATCACGGCGCGCGAGTCGCCTATGTGCGCCACGAACAGCCGGTCGTGCCGCACAAACGCCACTGTACCTGTCGACCCCGACTCGGGCTCAGAACTGTGCTCTTCGAGCCTGTGTGCGGGGGGGGGGGAGGGGCGGGGGGGGAAGGGGGGAACATGCGCGGTGAGATTTGAGCCTACTGGCGCACAAACGCCACTGTACCTGTCACCCCTGACTCGGGCTCAGCACTGTGCTCTTCCAGCCTGTGCGCGCGAGGGGGGACGGGGGAAGGGGGCCATGCGCGGTGACGTCTGAGCCTACTGGCGCACGAATGGCACTGTACCCGTCGACCGACCCCGACTCGGCTCAGCACTGTGCTCTTCGAGCCTGAGTAATACTCACCACTGCAGCAGCCGTTGATCAGCCTTGAGAAAAGCATCTTCGAGCTCCGCCACCGTCAGATCCTCGTCCTCCAACACCGCGCCGCCAACACTCCACTAGCTCACCAAAGTACACCCACCAAACGCACCAACCAAGAGCACCCACAAATCACACCCACCCCATTACGCGCACTCATCACTGCAGCAGCCGTTGGTCGGCCTTGAGAAACGCGTCCTCTGCAGCCGTCAGGTTCTCGTCGTCCAACACCACGCCGCCCTCCAGCGCCAGCACACAACAAGCACACCCACACCATACAAACGCACCCGCCAACACACCCAACCTACCAAGCACACTCACTCCAGCAAGCCCTCTTACCACTGTAGGTGCCGTTGGTCAGCGTTCAGGAAAGCATCTTCGAGAGCGTCCTCCGCGGCCGTCAGATCCTCATCCTCCAACACCGCACCGCCCTCCAATGCCTCCATAACCTCACCATACACCCAGTCAACCCCCGCCAAGCACACCCAGTTGACTTTTGAGTCGACTCAGAAGTTGACTCAAAAGTCCCTCCAACGCCTCCATAACCTCACCATACACCCAGTCAACCCCCGCCAAGCACACCCACTCACCACTGCAGCAGCCGTTGGTCAGCTTTAAGGAAAGCATCTTCGAGCGCGCCCTCCGCGGCCGTCAGGTCCTCGTCCTCCAACACCGCGCCGTCAACACTCCACCCGCTCACTACACCAAGCTCACCCACCGAACACATCCACCACACCCACTCACCACTGCAGCAGGCGCTGGTCGGCTTTAAGGAAAGCATCTTCGAGCGCGTCTTCCGCGGCCGTCAGGTCCTCGTCTTCCAACACCGCGCCGCCCTCCAGCGCCTCCATGCAGTCGTCGTGCAGCTCGTCGCTCAGAAACTTCGCGGAAGACGCGCCTGCACGCGCGACAAACACGCGCTCCGAAGTCAACTCACACGCTCAAATCTTAAGTATCGGAAGCTTCCCAGAAAAGCAGAAATGAAAGGTTTGGAAACTGCACGCTCAGTATCCGTCCAACAGGCTCGTGGCCGTCAAATACGCACCTGCGTGGCCGTCAAATACGCACCTGCGTGGCCGTCAAATACGCCGGCGTAGAGGAACCCAGCGCCATTGTCTTCCAGAACCACCGCGTGGTCCTCCATCTCGTCGACTCAGTAGATACCTGGATGGCCGTCAACACGCACCGGGTGACCATCAAATGCGCACCGGGTGGCCGTCAAACACGTACCTGCGTGACCGTCAAACACGCCGGCGTAGAGGAACCCAGCGCCTATGTCTTCCAGCACCACCACGTGGTCCTCCATCTCGTCGCGCCGCCCCTGCGCCGCGTGGCACCCAACCTTCAGGCGGCGCCGCGGCGTCGCTTCCGTTCCTGACGCCGGGACCGACGGCGCGTCCTCCGCTGTGGGTGCTGCGGCAGCAGTCGTGACGGGAGTCGCTGCAGCAGAAGGAGGTGCGACTCGTCGAGGGCCCTTAGCTGAAGCGCATGATGCGGAGAGATTCAAGTTCAGGTTGAAGAAACTCGACTCGTCGCGGACGAGGGAGGAGGCTGATGATTTGAGTGGTACAACTGGAGCGGGAGTGAGCCTGAGGGAGGAGATAAGCGAGCGAACCGCCGCCATGGTTGCCGTAAGAGGTTCTTTCGAAGTTGCGGAATTGCAATTGTAGGATTGGTGAACAAGTGGATGCCCAGCCCAACAATCACTGAATTTAGCAATGCTACGCAAAAAGATGTGTCCTACTATGCACGAAGCAGAAAGCAATGAGCTCGGTACGTCTTCTCCAGCGGAGGACCTATGCTTCGTATAGTACGACGACAAACCATCTTTAGCCAAACTCCGAGACGTATATACGAACGGACAGCCTATGAACGACCTTCAGGTACGTACGTCCTCTTCTTCTCCGCGTGATCATAATTTATGGAGGTCCTACCTCAGACTTACTTGCTTCCACTGACCAATCACAGTATTTCTGACAGAATCAGTCTGCCGTGAATTACCCGTTGGTGATTTCCTACCTCTTATTCTGAATGCGGCCTTTTGATTGTAATCGTTTGTCCCCAAACAACCAATCTCGGAGGAGGCGCGGTGCCACGTCACAATACCTCGGCATGCTCGATGGTGGTCCACGACGTTGACATCCACCCAACGATTCGGTCAACCACGTGGAACGTGTGGCGAGCAACGTCGATTCGCTCAACATGCCTGGCGAAAAGGAATGGAATCGGATCGGGAGGAATCGATCAAGGATTTCACAAAGCGCGCTGTAGTTTGTGGAGCCAGCGTGGCAAGCTTTTCATTTGTCGGTCTTCTTCACCAATCCACTGCCTTAAGGCGTGTGCGAAGTATTTCGACGTAGTTTGGACGTAGTTTTGACGTCGGGGATCGACGTCGAGTGACGTCGAGCCTCTGACGTCGGTCGACGTCGAATGGCACACTTTGAACACATTGCCGGCGACGAACTGTCCGCTCAGGACAAATGCCGGCCTTAATAATAACAGTTGAATTGAGACTGTCGAAGAATTGAATTGGGACCAAAACCTGAAATCGCAAATGTTTTTTTTTAGCGCGTCTATTGGCTGCGAAAAACTCCTCACGAAATGAAAATGTTCGCAATGTTCGAGATTACAGTTCATGCCAATCTGTGAATTTGTCTAACGTGGTCTGGCAAACACTGTAAAGATTCGCTCAATTTTTCTTTGGTTGACCGTTTCTGTGCCTATCATCATTGCACATTTCCGTACAAATGACGATGCTGGCGTCAGCAATTTTTGAAGCGTACTTTGAACACAGAAATGGCACCCCTCAGCTCACCCACCTTGCCCAACAACCTCGACGTGCTCGACGTCGAGCTACATGCAGCACTTTGCACACGCCTTTACGAAAATAGGGGTCGCGTGCTGTCATCATGGCTAATTATCACCACAACCACACCCACCTCCCTGTTTGAGCAACTGCGCTGCGCTGCGCTATGAAATCGGAACCAAAAAAAGGATAGAAATCACAAAGCTCAAGCGCTAAGCACAAACATACATACATGCAACCTTATTGCATTATTCTCCACCTTCCTGTTCCATCCCCCTCTAGCATAAGCTCAGCATGGTGCCACCTCCGCAGCGATTCTCTTCTATGGCTAACACTAACAATAGCAACCCCCGCCATAGCAAGCCAGGCATACATCCGCGCCTCCATCTCACCATCCACAGCACTCGTAGCCTCATCCAGGAAAACCAACCTAGGGCGATGAAACACTACTCTTGCAAACTGAAGCCGCTGCTGCTCCCCTGGAGAAAGTCCCGCAACCCAACTTCGAGCGTTGCCTGACCGTTCTGGAGACGGCCTGATGTTGGGAGAACCTTGCTGCTGACAGTGCCTCTCATTGCCAAAACGATCCTCAGATTTCACCAGTCCATCTGGACAGATGGTCTCCAGAAATGGTAACAGGTGCGTCAAGCCCACCACAGCAAGAGCAGCCTCCATCCTAGTCCTTACGCCGCCATCCCTCCTCCTGCCTCTACACACACCCTCGGGAATACCCCCAAGTTCCATAGGGTACATGACTTGAGCAGCAAGGCAGGGGGAGGGAGCAAGAAGGGGCTTCTGGGGAAGGAACATGACATTGGGGGAAGCAGCAGGGGGGTATAACGTCACGGGGGGAAGGAGGGCTGCAGCAGATGAAATTACGCTGCTGCGGCTGCTGCTGCTGACGTGGCGGCTGCTGGTTGGCCAGAGTCCAGCGATGGTGCGCAGGAGGCTGGTTTTGCCACACCCGCTTGGACCAGTGACCAGTAGGGCCTTGCCACGTGGCAGATGGAGAGAGAGGTTCGCGACAATGAGATGGTTTGTTTGGGGGAGAGTGAGAGTGAGACGGGAGAGGGAGAGTGCAGGAGGGAAGGAGGAGGGGGAACAGGTGTGGCATGGTGGGTGCACCTCAAGTTCAGGTCCAGGTTCAGGCTTAAAAGCAGGCAGACGTTCAGGTTCAGGTGCCACCAATGCTTCCTCACACCCTCCCTCCGCTCCCTTCCCCGCTGCTGTCACACCTCCCATCTTCCCATCCCCCGTCCCCTGTCCCACCACCACGACCCCTTCCTCCTCCTGCCAGCCTGGCAGGCGCCAACCAGAGCCTGCCACGTGGCGGATGGCAGATTGCAGGAGAGGGAGAGGGGCGGTGGTGAGGAGGGAGGCTGGGTAGGTGTGCGTGCCAAATGAAGGGTGGAGAACTAGGGGGCATGAGGGCATTGGTGGTGGTCCTGGTACTGCTGGTGTTGCTGGTTCTGCTGCTCCTGCTGCTGCTGCTGCTGCTGCTGCTGCTGCCGCCGCAGCATTAGGAGGCACTGTGGAGCCCATTGAAGCTGCTGCTGCTTCACTGGCCGTGGCAGTGGGAGCAACAGGATAATCGAGGAGGATCTGGGCAACGTCCACCTCGTTGTACTTGATGGGGGAGGGGAACGGCCACGTGCAGCCAGCACCGATACCAGTACTGACAAACTCAGCGCCACCACTGCTGCCAGCAGCACCAAATTCGGCACTACCACTGCTGCCACCACCACCGGCACTACGACCAGCGCTGCTGCCACTGCTGCCAGAAGCAGAGTGCATGAGGTAGCCAGTGAGGGGGTCAACAGCGTCAGCCCAGTGACCGGCCGCCCAGATGTGCTCACAGAGCTGCTGCTGGAAGAGGCGGAAGTTGAAGAGCAGCCGGTTCATTGCCCTGCTGACGTCTGCCTGCGTTGCTGTGGCGGAGTCTGCTGGACTCATGCCTGCATGTGCTGAGGCGCCATCTGCATTTGCAACTTCTGATACAGCAGCAGCCGCAGCAGCAGAAGCACCAGCAGCAGAGGAGGATGAATTGTTGTGGATAGGCCAGAGTGGCACATCGCTGCACTGAAATGTCACCACTATCTTCACATCCTCTACTCTCACCTCCCCCCTCTTCACACCTTCCAGCCCCCCATACTCTACTCTCACCTCCTCCGTTCTCACATCTTCCATCCTCACCTTCTCGATTTCCGCTCCTTCCATCCCCACATCCTCTACTATCACATCCTCCACACTCATGCTCCATGCCTCGCCCACACGTGCAGCTGCCCACCTCTTCTCCGTCTTCCCCCATCCGACTCCGGATTGTGGCAGCAGGGTCCCTACCAGGGAGCGTAGCTCGGGCGGGACAGAGTGAATGGAGTACTGCAGGATCGGGTGCATACAAGGGGAGGCATGCAGCTGCTGTCCCACTGCGGCTTCCCTGATAGGATGTGACGTCTGAGTCGACTGGAGAGGCACCTGGGCTACAAGGGAGCGTAGATCGGGCGGGACAGAGTGAATGGAGTACTGCAGGATCCTGTCAGCTTCGCCGGCTGCTTCTTCGTCAGCTCTCGTGCCGTTGCTTCCTGGTCTCAGCACCATCAGCCAAGTCGGCTCCTGCAGCATAAAGTCCCTTGGCTCCACAAATTCGCCACCACACGGTGTGATCCGCGTGTCCTCACAACGGCCCTCACGCACCGATTCGCCAGCCCCTCTCCACGTGCTTACACCCGCTGCTCCTCCACTCTCCCCTTCCCATGTGCCGTACCCAGCCATCTTCCCACCAGCCTGCATCGCTTGCACAACACCCCCCGCTTGCCTATAAAACCTGTTCACATCGGAGCTGCTGCTGCCTCCTCTGTCCCCCCTTTCCACTCTGACATCCAGCAGCCCGGTTACTTCACTCACGTCGGCGTTACCACATTTCCTTGTGTAACCAGTACTCTTTTGCCCAGCTAATCTCTCCCATAAACCTCTTCGTTTCGACAGTGGCTGTGATGCTAGTGCCGCTGGTGGTGGTGATGCTGCTGCTGCCGCTGTTGCTGGTGCGGGTGCTGGTGGGGGTGGGGGTGGAAACGGCCCATCCATTCCACGTGCCACTACTGAATGTGACTGTAACGGATCGGAAGGCAACAACTGCAGCGACTCAAACAGCTCACCAACCCTCGCAGTGTACCCAGCAGAATCCGATATAATCTTAGCAGCATCAATGATCTGAGATCCTCCGAATATCAGCTGCAAGATCGCAAACGAAGCATTACTGATCCACTGCGCAACAGCCCCCTTATCCTTACTATCTCCCCCTCCTCCGGCCATACCTGCTCCTACTATTCCGAACACAGGTGCAGCGAGGGCTAGATAATTAACAGCCACGCCAGCATAATCGAACACCTTAGTGGTTATTCCGAGCTTTAAGTACCGCCAGACCAGCTTCTCCTGATTGGCCAGGACGGCTGCCAGCTCAGCGCTGAGATGGCACGCCTCGACGTCCTCCCCGCGTGAGAAAAGGATGTCCTCGGATCGCTCCTTAACTCTGACATGCGCCATACGGAACTCAGCTTCCCGCCTTTCCTGCTCGGCTACTAGCGCCGCGACTGGAGACATGACGCAGCGCGTTATGACCGCACCGACTGTGAAGAATAGGAGGATGATCAGGAGGCCCGTGGGACCGATTAAAGACACGACCCAGCAGCTGTAGTACAGCACGGTAAGCGGCGCGGTTACCGTTCTACTTAGCAGTAATGAGACCTGCTCCGCGAATCGGTGAATGTCCTCCGTGATTCTTTGATCGGGGTTGTCTATAACGGGTACAGAAGGGTCCTTTGCATTAGTAGCGGCATTATGGACAGAGGAGGTGCCGCATTTCTCGAGATGCGCGAAGTACAGCCAGCTGCTTCGCCTGTACGCCACGTGGCAGGCGGACGTCAGCGTCTTCCGCCATTTCAGGCAAAGGAACTGCGCGGACCAATCAGTGAGGGCCGTGGAAACGGCGGCCAGGGTCAACCAGATCGCGGAATTCCCGAGGGTCTTGAGGAAAGCATCCGGGCTGGCATTGACGAGGGCGAAATAGAACGTTCCTGTAACGGTGCCCATTTTCGCAACAATGGGAATGTTTGCGAGCGCGAGGAGTAACAGGATGATGGCGTACTTCGCACCAGCGAGTCGCAGAAGGGCCAGCAAGCGTCGCAAGAAACGGAGATCCACTCGTGCGGAAGACGCGCGATCGTAGCCGTTGACTGGTAACGGCTGATCGTCGGTGCCGATGGTCTGCGACTCCTCGGTGAAGAAACAGCATCGCGAAGCCTGTGATCCTGACCCATCGAACGGTCCAGATTGATTCGGGAAACCACTAAACCCAGCCATGCCTTCGAACAATCAGAAGCCAACGCAGGAAAAACATCACAGATGGTCATAGGTCCTTCATTAATGGCGTCGTTGAGAAAACCGCGGGCCTCTAATTCCGGACATGGTTCTCAGACCGACTAGTTCGTCACAAGGTCATGGTAATCTGGATACCCTCGCACTCGCATCAACGGCTCACGGAGCTTGCCGATCAGCACAAGCAATCGCTGCTTGCAGTCCTCAACAACCAAGAGGCACAATTCGCATCTACCTCATTCCGCAGGTTCTCCTCTTGAGGTGGCTAACTCAAGACCAAGGTGAGCTGGTTCTCACTAATGGTGGAGCAAGCTAAGTACGGTAGCGTCTTTTTTCCCAAGACTTGGATTGACCTTTTAGACTAGTAGCTTCTCCGTTCTCTTCTTGAGAACTGGTTGTGGGCAAGATCAAAAGCCACACTGCAACCTCGCTTAGATCCTTTGAAACCTGCAGAACCGACTCTCATCCCGAACTAAACCATCCCAAGGATGGTGATGCTGCAAAACCTGTCCTCGAATTTTGTCCTCTGCTTTGTGGCCTGTGCTGAGTTCAAATTGCTGTTTGATCGGGAGGATGTTCGGCTGGAGCCGTTGGATGAGCTCAGAACCAATCACTGTCGAAGCTGCTCCGTGATCCTGGGCGCTATTGACGTTCCACAACAACACCGTGGCGTGAAGTGATCCGTTCGATATAAATCTCTACAGAGGTAGAGTGTACGTACAAAACCATGGGTGGCATGTACGTATATACAACAATTTTTCAAAGCAGGTGAGCCAACTCAATCTAGTAAATGGGCAAACCACTTCCCAACAAATCATACACTATAATCACCATCAAGACCTAAACCATCCATCCTTCACTTCCTTCTCCTTTCCCTTCCCCCTCCTCCCCCTCCCTTGTCCCTTCCTACTTTCACCTTCCACCAGCGCATGCCGAAAGTCGAACACCCGAACATCAGCGTTGGCAGCACCACACACCACCCTCTCATCCTTTATATCCACGCACATTACCGATGAACTCAACCCCCCTAATCTCCTCGCAACGGTCCCTTCCACAATCTCGCCGATTTCCCCATTCGCCCCTATAGCCCATGCTGACCCCCACTTACTGATACCATTCCCTGAGCCCCACTTGCTATCCCCTCCCCCTCCACCCCCTCTTTTCCACCATCCCCCACTCCCAACCCCGAATCCTGCCATCCCCCCTCCTTTCCTCTTGTCCTCACCTATTCCATTTCTCCCCAGCCGATCCCCTTTATAAGCCCATCCGCTGCCTTTACAGCGACCTGCTACTGCAGCAGCCGCTCTAATGTCCATAAGAGCACAAGAGCCGTCAGTAGAAGCCGAAACAAGCCATGGGTCCTCAAAGGCAAGACAATTCACGTCATTGCTGTGTGCATGCCACTCTGCCACTGCGTCCCATACACCTCCCTCTCCTCCCTGCCCTCCTCCTCTCCCTGCTTTACCTGCTTTTCCTCCTCTTCCTCCTACTCTCTGATCAAACATCCTCACCACCCCATCCTCCCCTCCAGAAAAGACAAACCGGCCGCACAGGCTTGCTTGAACGGCAAGCGCCTTCCCCTGGTGCGCTGCCACGTGTCGCTTCAGCAGCGCTCCGGTCTCCACGTCCCAGCAGTACACGTCAGCACCAGCAGTGGAGAAGAGGTGGGGAGGGGAGGAGAGCGAGGGGGAGAAGCAGGGTTGCAGCGAGTACACCCAGTCAGCATGGCGAAAGGAAGAGATGGTTGGAAAGGAAGTGGAAAAGGAAGAGGAGGATGAAGAGGAGGAGCAGGAGGTAGAGAGGGAAGACGAAAGGTCCCAGCAACGAATGGTCGAATCCCACGACCCCGAGAAGAGGAGACGGCGGGACGAGACAGGCGAGGAGGACGACGCGGAATCGGCAGAGAATGCTGGGAATGAGGAAGAGGAGGAGGAGCGGGGAATTTGCCACCTGTTTGAACCTGGAGCATGGTACCCCCCTTCCAGAGCCAGACAGGTAATAGGACCCATGTGTCCATGCAGCAGGACCGGAACCGAGGGCAGGTGTGACGGAGCAGCAGGGGGATGCGGTGGAGGAGAGGGAAACGACGGAGACGGAGAAGGAGGACGAGCATGAGAAGGCACATCGGCAGCAGGGGGTGCAGCAGCTTCTTTTGAATCTAGTGGCCCGTTCCTGACAGAGTGAGCAAGCTGGGCGGCAAGGGTCTTAGCTGCTTGGGTGTGGCTCCACATGCCAGACACGTCAAACAGATATGGACAACCGTTTGCCGCCCGCCAGATCCGGATCACCGCGTCCGTGCCGCCCACTGCCAGAAAGTCCAACCCTGCCGCCACGGCCCGTACCGTCTCGCCAAGTGGCGGTGACGTGGCGATGGGGATTCCACCGCTGTAACTGTACCCGTAACTGTAACTGCTGCTGGTGTTGCTGAAACTACCAGAGTTGTAACCGTTGTAAACAGAGGAGTGGGGAGTGGTACTGGGGTGGTAACCAGTGCTGCTCCAATCATCCAGCGACCAGATTCGAATGGTCGAGTCATAACCAGCAGTAATGGCCAGAGAGAAGGGTGGGTTCAGAGGCGGCTCGTGCAGCGCACGAGAATAGGGGTGTGCGAAAGATTGTGAGGGAGAGTGTGAGGGGGAGAAGCGGAAGGGTGGCCGAGTAAGCATCCTCACAGCACGCACGCCGGAGGTGTGGCCTGCGAGGAAATCGCTCTGGAACCTTCCTAGGTACGCCATTGAGCGTCTCTGCCGCTGCAGGTACATCTCCCTCCAATTCACCCCACTTGTACCCATACTACCACCATCGGTACCACTGTCACCAGTGTCACCACCGTTACCACCACCATGACTGACACCAATCTCCCTTGATTCCCTTCCCTCGCTCTCCTCCGCTCCCACTGCTCCTACTCTTCCATGCCTATGGGTGCTGACAGCAGGTAACGCGCCTGATGTTGACGCGTAACTGCTACCCTCCCCTCTATTGCTCGATTCCCTCGTCTCGCTTCGGCTGCTCAGTCCTCGTCTACGCTCTTCCTCTTTCACTCCTCTTCCTCCTCCGCCTCCCCTTCCTCTTACGGCTCCTCCATTTTTCCTTCCACCGCCTCCCACCGATCCGTCTTGCCCTCCTCCCTCTCTTCCTCCCTCCACTCTACCACCACCTAGACCAATCACAGGCGGTGCCCATCGCTCGCAGTAGAACCGCATCCAACCGCACGATTCTCCTGCCAGGCGATGCAGCAGGCGGCAGCAGCAGGACAGCGACGCCAGATCGTGAACGTCCAAATGCCGGAGCACCTCCAGGATCAACGGATGGGGTAAATCCAGAAAACTCATGCTTGGACCAGAATAATGTGGTTCACCACCGGAACTCCCTACTGATTGGCCCAGAGTCTCCAGGCTACGAGTCGCCTCGACGCCTCGCCGAATTTCCAGGCTTTCTGAGTGGCTCGGCCGTTCCATGCCACCACCGCTCTCCTCTATAGCAACCGGTCTTGTTTCCGGCTCAACCCGCTCCTTAATCCCCCCCTGCGAGGCTAGGTTCCGAGCAAGCGCGGACGGACCAGGATCGCATAAAGCCGGCTCGGCTTCATCTGAAGCGGGATTGAGATCGTGCGGATCGTCGAACCAGGCCGCGTCAGCGGCGCCAGGTGGATGGCTGTGATAGTTGTGATGCCGCGAATCTGGCAATTCGGCCTCGCGTGACGATGGGCTCGCTCCCGGTGACGTGGCAAGCCGCGATGACGCGTGTAAGAGCATGATGGCTGGGAAGCACGCGGTTCAGGACAGGAGAGACAAAAGAAATTGAGGAGTTCACCAGCAGGCTCGCATGATCAGGTCTAAAGAGCATGGCAGAGCAGCGTCCTTGTTCTGCGTGTGGCTCTATTGAGGTTCATATTAGTCGCCACTGTGCTCCCGTATGCAAATGAGATGTAGCTAATGTATAAACCAGCCTAATCTATTGCATCGAGTTAGATTGAAAGCTGGACGCCGGAGCTCGTGTTGTACGTGCGGACAACTTTCGGTAGAGCACGAAACTTGTATCGGGTCTCTTTCTCTGATAGCTTGCGCTGTACTTGTTGTCGACCGCGCGTGATTTGGGGACCCTCACACCGGATTTACGTGGAAAGGTCATCTCATGACAGGGCATGTCTCATCGGTGAGTCTGCATTCCGTGCTTTCTGACATGCGGCTGTGTGTTGACCACAATGATTGAGCCACATGGCAGGTTCGGCTCGGAGCACCCTGCCATACCGTTCATGTTGCGCATCTTCCCGTTTTTTCCCCCCGCGACTCCAACCACAACCGCAATCGTTGAGGCCCAACCGGTGAGATGCTTGGAAACAGCAACTTTCGCACAGCCTAACGAAGCTATTGCGACATGCGACCCCACCAACCTTCAACCACACGACACGTTCGCGAGCACTCTCACACACTCCCTCCCTACGGAAACGACGCTTTTACGACATGCGACCGCACACATCTCCCGTCCGTCCAGTCGCCATCATCGATGGCCGACTTGAGATAGCTCATCATTGATTGGATAGAGGCGGTTTCCCGTCACCGCAACTCACAGGCTCAACTACACGTAGGGCAGTGCACAGGACCTGCCCTCACGCTCAGTTACGACTGCTTTTGGGGGTTTGTATACTGACACAGCTGTTTTCTTGCTGGACTCATGAATCTTGTGACTGAATGAGACAGCTAACTGACTGTCATAGACTTGCTTGTGAGCACCATAACTTTCAAAAATTTACCTGACTTGAACTTTTTTCGCAGGTGTTGTTCGTTCCAGTGTATGAGGAGGAGGGTCTCTTCACAGCAGAGTAGGGTTGTCTCGAACCAGAGTACTAGACGCTGCTTGGTTTTTGCAGCTGTTTTTATGTTGGATCATATGCGGAGAAGGACACTTCCCATAAACGTGTTGTCCGATCGAACCCTGGTCCTATAGCCCGTGTTTCACGTCATCCTGTACATTTTCCATTTGTACATTGTAGAGTGAGCTTGCCTCCGTACCGATAAGTTACAAGGTCGCCGACGTATCTCTTCAGCAATGGCTGAGACTCAAGATGTCATGATGCTCTGTGTCCATATGGACAACAAGAGACCGGGCTCTTCCCAGTTAACTCCAGGCGTCACGCCTGGAACCGTCTCAACGTCTCAAATCAGCCAGCATCCAGGAATTTCCAGAAGGCGAGGCGAAGGCCTGAGACAAGAGGTGGTTTCTAACGCCAACCAGACAACTTCTAGGCGAGGCTCCTTCGAGCTGCAAAACGAAGACCGCGTTGCGATCTCTTCAGGCCTCGGAGGAACGGCGTTTCAGCAGGAGAAAGGGTCCACCGACCCTCATAGCGACCCTTGGTGGTCGGCGTAAATTTTATCTAACGGTTCAATTTGTTTGGGCTTGAGGTAATCCGTGCAATGCCTTTCTCAACGCCTTCGTCTTCTCGCTTCCAATGCCTTGTTACCTATCTGGCTAGTTAGCCAGGGAGCTCCCCATTGGGCCTCCCCATTGTTTCTTGGGGATTCATTGAGGTTGTGTGAGTGACTGAATCGATGTCTTTGTACAGGTGCCATGTTCCGTGTGACTGAATTTCATGTACCTCTGACTGTTTAATGGACGATACTTTTGTTTTGGAGCCTCTAACATGAATATTATGCTGGTTGCTGCCAGGATGTCATGTGTGCTTGGATACGTAAATGGCTTGAACAGAGAATGAAGAAAACAGCACATTGAGAAAGCTTGCTTTCTTATTCTTATCAATTGGCATCATTCTCATTACAAATGGCTTATTACAACATTTGCATCAACGTTGAACACAAGCTAGTGCAATCGAGTAACACTAGCTAAGATGTACCCTATCCAAGTGGCATTAGCAAGGCGGTTTGCTCTGGGGTGGGTGGTGGGAATGTTGAGTGAGCCGTTGGAAAATCGAGAAACGTGGGTGGAGGGAAATGAACTCCAACCCACGGTTTTTGTAGTTGGAGAAGGGCGTTTAGCGCGCTTCGACGATGCCAATTGTGCAGTACAAGCAGCTTCGCTTTCACAATACACAATTTTAAAAAACACACATGTAGTGTTTTTTAAAATTGTGTATTGTGAAAGCGAAGCTGCTTGTACTGCACAATTGGCATCGTCGAAGCGCGCTAAACGCCCTTCTCCAACTACAAAAACCGTGGGTTGGAGCTCATTTCCCTCCACCCACGTTTCTCAATTTTCAAACGGCTCACTCAACATTCCCACCACCCACCCCAGTGTAAACCGCCTTGCTAATGCCACTTGGATAGGGTACATAATAGCTAGTGTTATTAGTCCGCACTAGCTTATGTCGAACGATGATGCAAATGTTGTAATACGCCATTTGTAATGAGAACGATGCCAATTGATAAGAAAGAAAGCAAGCTTTCTCAATATTATAATTTCAAAGGAAAGGCACAGCACAAAGAACGTGCAAACAAAAAGCCTGGAATCAATACAACACAACAGAACATATTCCAACCATATCAGCATTCCACCATTGCTGCTTCTGTCACATGTCACCGTGCTACAACTGAAGTTGTAGTAGCAAACAACCCCTTGTACACCAGTCAGTATAACCATCCGCCATTTATTAGTGCAGTCGCAGTGTCAGCGGCAATGGCAGAAGCACCAGGCGCAGCATAACCACCAGAGCGTTCCTTCCCCTTGTTGACATTGCTTTGTATTCACACCACCCATTTAAAACAACTCGAGAATCCATTGCTGCAACTTAATCAGAGGACCCCATGCAGTATTTCTTAACCACTGGTTGCAACTTGCCGGCCCTTTTTGAAGCACGCTGCTGACGCACTCCTCCTTCACCGCCCTCCCAGCCAACTCGCCCATTGCCTTGCACTGCTTCGATTGTGTGAACCCTCCCCCCACGCCTCCCCACCTGGTCAACTTGAGCTGGGAGACCAGTTTTCCTCACCCCCCATCCTCCTCGTCGCATTCGGGTAAATCACCCTCCATAAATGGCATCCCCAAAGAGGCACCACCATTGAGCGCCTGCTCAGGAAAACTCTCCCCTAGCCAGTTTCCAGACCTCGCCCCGTACTTTTGCCGAAGCTGGCGGCACGGAAGGAAGTTGCCTTGCGAGTCCGTGCCGTGGAAAAGAAGGTAGAGGTATGGATGGGAGAATCTCGTCTGTGGGACGGGAGGAGGATGGGGAGGAAAAACATAAGAGTGGAGATAAGCCAATGGAGAGATATGCGTAAGGAGAAATGATGGGCAAATGGATTGGAGCTAGTCCTAGGAATGGGGGATGGGGCATGTGAAGAAAAGTACAGACAGGGTCCAGTACATTTGCAAGAGTCTGAGATCTGGAGACCTCTCAACTTGAAGTATTTTTGGTGCAAGCACCCAGGATACGTACTGTTGTCGGCTCGCTGGGAAGGGTTAGTAGATCCTCGGCCACTGAAAGGAAAGAAAGATCGAAAATTGAACGAAATAAAGAAGCAAGAAAGAAACAGAAGAAAGAGCTGGAGAGGGGGAACGAGAGAGGGGGAAGAGACGAAGGGGGAAACGGATACATGCGCTCGAAGAAACTAAAGGAGAAAACCTAACGCCAACCTCAGTGATGCTGCTTTCAGCTGTGCGTATGGCAACCCATATTGGTATCACTCACCGTAAGCTACTGGGAAGCTTCCTCCATCAGCAGAGTCCAAGAGAACCTGCTTGGTGCAGTGCAGTGGTACGGGATGGGCGAAGAAAGTTACGACGATGAGAGACTGCAATGCGTTGGCCACGGTGGAAAATGTTTATATTACATGGTGCCATAACTACAGTTATCATGACCGCCCAGTGAGGTGTTCATGAATTAAAAGGCAGCACTAAGGCATGATAATATCGTGTTAACTTGCTTAGTGCATTAGAAACGGTAGGAGGCCAGAGTTTAGGGTGATTCAATTCCACACCTGACACATGTTTAAATCATTTGGTACACATGTCCAATGAAGTAGCTGGAAAAACCAAGTCTTACACTAAAAACAAATGGTGACCATGGAGACTCAAATCTGACAGGAAGGTCAATTTGTTTGGAAACATTCGATCTGATTACCGAACAGATTGAAGATATTTGACCCACCAAGCGTGCATACCTGGTAAAACGGCTGACAGGGTCCTCTGGGAAGGCCTGCCACGTCAGCAGCCGCCATCCACTCTGCTGACTCGCAACACACGGGATCCACGCCCACCACCACGGCAGTATAGGCTGGGAGGGGGGAGGGGGCGGCGGAATGGGAAAGGGGGATGGGGAGGGGGGAGAAAAGTGGGTTGGACAACTGTAAGTGGGGGTGAAAGGGAACAGGCCATAGGGATTTCAAAAGCCACTACCAGCACGAGGAATCCACACCCACCACCACAGCTGTATAGGCTGGCAGAGGGGAGGGAGCACAGGGGGAGGGGAAGCAAGAAAGAGGGGGCTAGGCTAGACAATGGCATCAGGGAGAGAATATGAAAGGAAACAGGTCGTTGTTGACAAAAAAAAAAAAAAAAAAAAAAAAAAAAGGTGGGGGGGGGTGGTTGGGGGAGGGGAACTGCAACAAAATGGTAACAGGACCCTTACTGTCCTGCTCGACTTATATCTTTCCCCACTTTTCCTTTCCCCCCACCCACACCCCCCCCCATCTCTCCCATTCCCCACACTCCCCCCACCCCCTCCCCTTCTCCTGCTCTATCTCACCGTGTGCTACGCTGTACGCGCTGCCCCAACTGAAAGTGCGTTTTGAGGCACCATTTCACAAAGAGCTCACTATCCCCCCCAACCCCTCCCCACCCACACGCCTTCCTGCTCACTCTCACGTGTCCCAACTGAAAGCGGCACCTCACCGCCCCTGCTTCTTCCCCACACCCACCCATCCCTTGCCCCTTCACCTCCTTCCTCCCGCTTTCCCTGTCCTCCTCCCCCCCACCACTCCCCCTGCTGCTGCTCCTGCCTCTCAACGTGTTTGCGGTGCTGCACGCGCTCCCCCAAATCAAAGCGACTTTCAAGGCCCCTGTTTTCCCGCACACCCCTTCCCTCCCTCCCACTCCCCCTTTTCCGCCTGCTGCTGTCCTCTCTCACCGTGTCTGCAGTGCTGCACGCGCTCCCCCAACTGAAAGAGACCCGCACCCACTACGCCCACCCAATCGCTGGCCCTTTTCCACACTCCTTCCCCTTTTCCACACTCCTTCCCCTTTTCTTCCGCCCTCTATACTCCCATCCTACTGCTGCCCTCTCTCACCGTGTCTGCAGTGCTGCAGGCGCTACCCCAACTGGAAGCGACACCTCACCGCCCCCGCTTCCCCACAACCATGTCTGCAAGCCCTTACCCCTCCTGCTGCCTGCCTCTCACCGTGTCTGCAGTGCTGCACGCGCTGCCCCAACTGAAAGAGACAGCGACACCTCACCGCCCCCGCTTCCCCTTCCTCTCCCCCTGCTTTTCCCCCGTATGCTACCTGCTGAAGCTCCTCCCTGCGCAGCAGGCAGGCGGAATGAAAAAAGGGGGAAGGCGGGAGGGGGGGAAGGACGGGGGGACATGGTACACGGGGAGGCCGAATGAGGCAGTGAATGAATGAGGTCAGGGAGGCTGGGCGGGGGGAGGGGAGACGGGAGGTCAACGAAGGTCAACGCAAGTCAATCCAGTCAATCAAGTCAACGCACTCTGGGACCAGTCAGGCTGATGAGAACCAACCCGAGCACAGACAAGTCGAGCCAGGTCAGCAGAATAAAAAAGTCAAGTCAACAGAGTCAACGCACTTTAGGGTGTGCATGGAGAGAGGACCATCCTCCACCAATGGTGGCATGCAGCTGAAACTGCTGCTGCCGTCGCCGCTGCCGCTGCCGCTGCCGACGCCGCTGCTGTGGCTGCTGCTGGTGCTTCCCACGGCGGAAGGGGCAGTGGAAAGGGCAGTGGAAGGGGCGGCGGAAAGGGCGGCGGTCGGGGGGGCGGTCGGGGGGGCGGTCGGGGGGGCGGAGTGGTTGGCGAAGGGGGTGGGGGAAGGTACAGCGGAGGGGAAGGAAACGGCGGCCTTGGCGTCTCGTTGCCGCGCCGTCTCTCTGTCGATCTCCGCGATTTTCTCTCGTAGCTCTTGTGCTGCTTCGTACTGGTCCGTTTGCAGCGCTCTCTGCGGGAAATGGGGGGGTTGGGGGAACGCGGAGGGGAAAAGGGAGGATGGGGGCAGGGAGGTTTGAAGGGGAGGGAACGGGAGGAAATGTATCTCTGTCTATCTCCGCCGTTTTCTCCCGTAGCTCCTGCGCTGCTTCGTACTGGTCCGCTTGCAACGCTCTCTGCGCGGAATGGGGGGAAGGCGGTATTGGCGGAAGGTGAAGGGGGAAGGTAAGCGGGAGGGGTTGACGTGGGTTGGGGAAGGAGGGGGAGGTGGAAATGGAACAGAATTCCGGCCGATCCTCGCCGGATGATCCCTACCTGCGCGTCACCAGCGCCCTATCTGCGCCCTACATGCGCCCTACCTGCGCCCCACCTGCGCCCTACCTGCGCCCAACCCGCGCCCAGCCATACCTGCGCCCAACCTGCGCCATACCTGCCCCGACACGGCGCCCTACCTCCAGCCACGTGTTTAAGTCAGCGCCCTACCTCCAGCCGCGCGATTAAGTCCATTCGGTAGAAGAACAGCAGCAGCTCCTCATTCACCATCGCGCTATACTCCGCCTCCACGCCGCTTATCGAAGCGCCACTGCTTCCCCCGCCGCTGCCGCCGCCGCCGCCGCAACTGCCGCTGGGCGCTAGCGATTTATCAACGATGGGTGGAGACAGGGGCCGCCAGATAGCTTGTCGCGGCGCGCTCTGCTGAGGATGTTGTTGTTGCTGCTGCTGCTGCTGAAACTCCTGCTGTATCTCCTGCTGTAGTTGCTGCTGTAGCTGAAAGAACGTCGCAAAAGTCGGGCTAGTGGGGGAGCGACACGTATTGAAAAACGCCATCGCAGCGCCCGCGGAGAGGCGCCCCGTTCGGCGCCGCGGAGTGCGCGGAGAGGCCAGGCGTGGGGAGGAGCGACTGCGCCCCATCCGCGGGCTGCTGCCGACGGTTCCGCGGGAGAGGCCTCCGCGCGGGCAGCGCACGCGAGGAAGGCGCAAGTGATTGGTGAAATGGGGACTAGAAAGAACCTCCACTCCTCCGCCGTCACCGCCGCCGCCGCCGGCAGACATGGCGGAGCCGGCCAAATAAGGAGCTATGCTGATTGGCGGAGGGACGAGATAGGACACTACGTTGATTAGCGGAGAAAGACGGGCGAAAGGACTAGGCGGCGAGAAGGCAACTTGAAGAAAGCGGCAAGATCTAGGTGATACGATGTCGAGTAGATGCTGCGCTGACGAAATGGGATGTGGTGCTAAAAAACAAAAAGACGGGGATTAAGCCGGCCACAAGAATTCAACAAGAAAGGGGAACGCGGTAGGATGCGTGTGTAGCGAGTTCTCCAGCTGGATTTTCGCTGAGGGTAGCTTTTGCGGAATGCAGGAAAGCTGCGAATTCAAGAAACGAGTGAATAGGAGCCAAGCTAGGTTTGTTGCAGAAACAAGCCAAAACAGAGTTATGTGGCAGAAATATGGGATGGGAGAACTGCGTTGCAATTTGAAAAATAACGACTGGCAGCGCAAACTTGCGAGCGATGCCGCAGAAGCATCTAGATTAAACATGAAGGAGAAGGGGGACGGTGCGCGGAGACGGGGAATGAGGGGGGGTGAAATCGGTTGAGGCTGGGGTGGGATTGGCTGGGTGGGTCAATCTGGGCAGGATTTTAGGGGCTCTTCCGCGTGCGCGGAGCCAAGAGGGGCAGCAATTGCGCGTTCAGTTGCGGGTGTGCCACAAGCCAAGCAAGGGGGGGTGGGGGGGGGGGGAAGGTGGGGGGAGGGGGTGGCGCTACCTGCTGTGGCGGCGCCGCTTGGCGTCGCGCGGGTCGCAAGAAGCATGCTCCCCACTTCCTTCGCAGGGAAGGGGCACGCGCAAGGTGGAATGTTTTTGGCGACTGGTTCGGGTGCTGTGGTGGTTGTCGCCAGCTCCGCATGAACTGCAGTGTTGTTGGTGATTCGTCAACGACGCATGGGACTACGTGGTATTTCGCCAACCCTTTTATGCGATAGATATCGCGAAGTGCCGAACATATTTGACGAGTCTCGCTAAATATGCATTTCACGTGACATGAGATATTGTTTGGTTCGGAAACATCGAGCCCGAACGAAGGGCAGGGCGGAATACCCACTCGGTGCACAAAACGGGAGAGAAAGAGCGCGATTTGGACGCTCCGCTGTAGTTACGAGAAACATAAATGTTTACTGTTGCAGAAAATGGGTAAATACACTCCCTCCGTTGCCCTGATTAATCTCATTAATATATGGGGACCGGAAGGTTCGCGGAGGCAATGGGAGCTTTCTTGGGCAGAGCACTCCCGTAATCCTCGGTAACTCGGCCACCCACTCCCGTAACTCCCCTGCCCGATTACGGGGCGATAAAAACCAAGAATCACTACGGATCGCACCTACTCTAATTCGTCCACGTCGGAGCGACAAAGCCCATCGCTGACCCCGCGGAAGTTTAATTCCGCGTGAGCACACCATGCGTTATATTCGCGTTTATTTCGAAAACGAGGAAGAATCATTCGCGCCCAGATTATGTCTCAGCTCACCACGTGTTTATTTCTCAGTCGTTACAAAAGGTCGTCGAGTCGCTCATGACCCGTGACAATGTTGACGAGAACGGTACACTTGTTAAAATCGAGGTCGTCGAAAGCAATCTGCGATATTCCTCGATTTCGCTGGCACAACATGACTCTGTTAAGAATGAGAAGTGATTGGACCAGGAAAAGTGTGGGGTACAAGTAGGAAACCCTAAAGTTACCATACCCCATAGTATCTACCCCACTACAGCCTAAACAACTCTAGCAGATATAACATTTGACACACCCCCATAGGCAAAGTGGGGGAGAGCAAGGGGTCACAAGACTAGTCAAGAAAGACAAAGCAAGCTCAGGGTGGATCACAACGTCACCGCACTCACTGAGCACAAGCAAGAGGCCATAAGGCAAGTTCACATGCAGAGGCATATATGTAACACAAGCATCACAGTGATCTCTACCTAGCAAAGCAAGCATGCAGGTATACATATATAGATCAGAGTACAGGCAAAGTCTACAACAAGTGAGGAAAAGTGGGCAAAAGCCCTACCGTCATCGCCCGGATATAAGACAGTGTCGAATTGAAGACATGGGGTGTCGTTAAAACGGGTGTTTCTTATAGATGGGTGTTCCTGATTATAAGACAACTGTCGGTGTGTACAAGTTAAGCCAGTATAGGGATTAGGGGCAATCTTATGACTAGGGGGTATCTTCTAAATGGTTTTTTGTCCATTTATAAGAATTATAAGACACCCTAAACTGTACCAATTACAAGACACAGCAAGCTTTTTTTCTAATGTATAAGATTGTGAAACAAGTGAACAGGAATGAAATGACTAAGTCAGAGTTGGGTACAAATACAACCCTAGAAAGCTATACCCCATATGTGCTACCCCACTATAGCCTACAAACATGCATCAGCTATAATACTCTGACACACCCCCATAGGCTAAGTGGGGGAGAACAAGGGGTCACAAGACCAGTCAAGCAAAGCAAAGCAAAGCAAGCTCAGGGTGGATCACAAAGTCACCACACAGTCCGAGCACAAGAGCAGGGCCAGAGGCCAGTTCACATGCAGGAGTACAGACATATATATAAAACTAGACAAGCAAGAGCAGGTATATATATATGTCACAGTACAAGTGAAGTCAAGAGGAGAGCAAGTGAGGCAAGACAGGTACAAGACCCAGCTGGGTGCAAAAGCGCTGATGGTCACAAGGCGCGAGTGCCTTGGTGAACACATCAGCAGTGTTGGCCTCAGAGGCCACGTACGCAAGTCGCAACTGACCACGCTGCTGCAGCTCACGAGCAAGGTGTGAAACTGAATGAACAGGAATGATCAACTATGAAATGAAAACAGTACAAGTACCAACCCTAATTGGGTTGTACCCCTTATGTGCTACCCCACTACAGCCTACAACATGCATAAGCTATAGTAATCTGACACACCCCCATAGGCAAAGTGGGGGAGAACAAGGGGTCACAAGACCAGTTAAGCAAAGCAAAGCAAAGCTCAGGGTGGATCACAAAGTCACCACGCATTCCGAGCACAAGTTCAAAGGCCAGACGGCCAGTTCACATGCAAGATCATATATAGAGATATACAAGAGTCAAGCAAGCAAGAGCAAGAGTATATATAGGCGAAGGTACAAGCAAGGTCAAGAGGAGAGCAAGTGAGGCAAGACAGGCACAAGACCCAACTGCGTGCAACAACGCTGATGATCACAAGGAGCAAGTGCCTTGGTGAAGACATCAGCAGTGTTGGCCTCAGAGGCCACGTACGCAAGTCGCAACTGTCCACGCTGCTGTAGCTCACGAGCAAGAAAGTAGCGGAGAGCAATGTGCTTCGTTCTGTGCTCCAGTCGCTGCTCTCGACACAAGGCCAGCATGGCCTTGTTGTCTACGTACAGGACTGGAGGAGAACGAGGCTGCTCTCCAAGGTCGGTCAGCAGGTAGGTGAGCCAGCGTAACTCCTGCGCAGCCATAGCCCCAGCGTAGATCTCAGCCTCACAACTGGAGCCGAGAACAGAAGACGAGCGGGTAGCCCGCCACGAGACAGAGCCGGAACCAAGGCTGAAGGTGTAACCCTGTGACGACCGCTGCGTAGCCTGGTCGTCAGCCCAAGAAGCGTCTGCGTGCCCAGTGAGGACCACTGGACTGCGCCCTCCAAGCACTAGCCCCATGCCCGACGTACTGCACAAGTAGCGCAACACCCTCTTCGCTGCAGCCATGTGCTCTGGTCGGTGTCTCCCAGGAGCAACAAAGCGTGCGAGAATGCTAAGAGGGTATGCGAGGTCAGGTCGTGTGCAGGTCATCAGGTACATGAGGCAGCCAAAAAGCTCTGCAAACGGACCACTCGACTCTACGGACTCATCCGAAGGCAGAGCTGAGAGCGAGTGGCGAGTAGGCAGAGGAGTGGCCTGAGGCGAGGAGTACGTGAAGCCGAAGCGCTGAAGGACCTGCTGCACCATGTGTGACTGAGTCAGGGTAATGGTGCGGCGTGCTCTGTCCCGGGTGATCTGCAAGCCAAGGTAGCTACGCAGTTCACCCAGGTCAGTGCACGTGTGTCTCTTCTGCAGCTCGGACTTCACGTAGGCGAGTCCAGCAGTGTCAGCTGTGGCAAAGACCAAGTCGTCGACGTACACGAGAATGTAGAACGGCGGCAGAGAGGTGTCGGTGCGCAGAAACAGCGACGGGTCGGCAGTAGAAGGAGCAAACCCAAGTGCCGCGAGCGTAGTCCTCAGTGTGTCGTGCCACTCACGCGGCGCCTGGCGGAGACCGTAGACTGGACGCCGGAGACTCCACTGGGTACCAGGAGGGAAAGACCCAGTGAAGCCAGGTGGGCGACGCAGCCAGATCTCCTCGTGCAGGCTGCCCTGCAAGAAAGCTG